GGGAGCTGTTTGGCTGATCTCCGCCCCTGCTCTTGTTCTGTCCTCCGCATACCTAGACAAGCCAGGTCCTTGAACGTGGCCACATCAGCATGGTTCTCTGTGTCCTTCAGTGTTAAGCGGCGGTGGTAAAATTGCTTCACACGAATTCGATTTCTGGTTCCGAAAACAAAAACAACCTCTCCACCCCCAATCAAAATCAGCAATGGCTGTCTTGGAGGGAGATCTGAGATTCTTTTAGAGCCTGTCAGCTAAGCAGAAACTGAAATGGCATGCCACAGGCTCACGACCCAGGCTTACTCATCTGCACAGGAGGGCCGTTTCACAACAGCCCTCCTGTGCACCCTCCAGCTACAGGGCGCAGAGTCCTGCAATGGCCTCACGACACATCCTCTGTCAAAGGGACACGCTCTGGAGATGTTCCCAACTTAATGTGAATTATTCTCCAGTCCTTGAACTGATGTTTGTTTATTTTTCGTAAAAAGGGAGTCTGTTGTTATCAAGGCCATCTGGGTACCTATTTCCACCATCTCTATGACGCCTCGATTTTCCACCTCCTGAATGCTTCCATGGTCTAACTAAGTCCTCAGTGGGGCTGAGAAGACAGATGGTGGGGGAAGCAGATGAAGGAGGCCATCTCACATCCAACGGATCCCATACTTCCCATGTCCAAGAGATCCTTGATAACCTGGAATTCACTGCTTCTAGAAAAAAGGATGCCTCAAACACCTGTGTGCTTGGTGCAGTAGACAGCATCTTCATTTTCCCGTGACACGTTTCCACTGTGAGGTCTACTACCGCTCAGTGCGTACCAGCTCCCAAGCCTGAAGCCTGCCTCTATGTAGTCCCCAGAGCCTTCACTGTATGCAGCTTGACTGTCTGCTCGCTCCACAGAAGCTGGAGAAAGGAGGAAGCAGCGGCAGGAAAATGTTCCTCAATGAAGAGTTGCCCAATACCAGTGATTGTCCAGCTGCCTGAATGGCTACCCGTGAGCTTGTGAAATCTTTGGTTTTTAGACTACTAATGGCACAAGGATTTATTTTTATTTCTTATTAGCTCAGCAGGGGAATAATAAAGAATAGAAACAGGAACTTTCTTGTGACTGAAAGTTTACAAATTGTTTACAGTGTAACAGTGTTCAGGGAAGTTAAGTCAAGTCATCCTTGATAGCCCTAAAAGAGTCATTTCTAGGCAGGCGTGGTGGTGCAGGCCTTTAATCCCAACACTCAAGAGGCAGAGGCAGGAAGATCTCTGAGTCTGGGACCAGCCTGATCTACATAAAGAATTCCAGGACAGCCAGGGCTACATAGTGAGACCCAGGAAAACAGCAACAAAGAAGCAGTCATTTCTGAAGCGCTGCTAGCTATCCTTTAAGGGGAATCTAGAGACAAATGGCTGAGTTAATACTATAGAGAAGCAACCAGAACCCTAGAGACAACCACCATTGCTTAAACTAACAAGACTTGAATCAGCTAAGACTACGCACACGAAAACAGAATTCCCCAGCACCTGAGCTTCTTTCCAGATATAGAAGTTTACCAACATGATGAAGATCTTTTTTTTTTTTCAGAACTACAGAAATGTGAATTTGAATTCCAGCCTTGCCAAGTACTCAGTCACTGGCCTTAGACAAATTGCTTAACCTGTCTGCTTTGGCTTCCTCACTGCAAAAGTGATTCTAAAACTCCTGCCCCTGGGATCACTGTAAAATTCATTGAGATAATACAGACAGACTTCTTGGTGCCAAACAGGTGCCCAGAGGTAACATTTGGGCTTGCGGACAGCTAAGCAGGCGGACATGGTTGTCAGTAAGCCCAGCAACCAGACATCTATCCAGGAAAGAGAACCCAGGCTACATGTGACCTCCAATTTCCCCTACCACACACAATAAATAAATAAATAAATAAATAAATAAATAAATAAATAAATAGATGTTCTTAAACCTTCTTGTGTAGAACACAATAATTAGCCTTGCATAACCACAGTTTAATTTAGAACCACATTTTCACAATGAATCTTACATACTTAAATCTACATAATCATTGCCATCTATTGTATATCTTATGTATAGTTTTGCTTTTGTGTGTGTATGTGCGCACATGTGTAGGCTAGAGGATGTTGTATATCTTTCTCAATTGCTGTTCATCTTTCATTTTCTGAGGCAGGTTCTCTTGCTGAACTTGGGGCTCACCAATTCAGCTAGACTGACTGGTCAGGGATCCCCTGGGACCTTCCTGCTTCCATTTCTCCAGCACTGGGGTTACAGATGCATGCTGCTAGGCCTGACCTTTTAACACGGCTGCTGGGGATCCGAACTCAGGTCCTTGTGCTTTCAAGCCAAGCGTGTTGCAAGCTGAGCCATCTCCTCAGTTGACAGAAGTACTAGTGATGAGGTCTTTCGGAGCACTCTCCCGAAATTCTGAAGTGTGAATTCAGTCTACCAAATCCTTCTGCTCAGTCATGAGGACCTAAGTTTAAATGCCCAGAACCCACATAAACAGCCAAGCACAATGTGTATTCTAGCACTAGGGAAGAGGGGACAGGTGGTCCCCGGCACTCACCTACCAGTGTGCCAAGCCCGTTCAATGAGCTCCAGTTGTTTCAAAAAGTAGGTAGAGAAGAACCCTGAACGTCAGCTTCTGGCTTCTACATATACACATACTCAGATTCACATACATCTTCATCCACATGTACACAGGAGCACATGCATGAACATATATATGTAAATACCACACACACACACAGACACACACACAAATTAAAATGGATAAAAGGCAAAGCCAAATTTTACAAAGTCAAGAAGGGCAGCCGGGAACAGTGGGAATTCACCCCCTTGCTTAATAAGTAGTTTCTCTTAGCACCTACAATGGGCTCACTGTGCAGAGCGCTTGGCATTGAGACAGGCAGACGAGAGCGCAGCCATCATGAAACCCGTGACTGAAACATGATCTCACAACTAGAAAAGGAGCAATCAATGTGAAATAAAAGAAAAGGAATCTGGTTCCCTTGTGTTTGGGTTTCTGAGCCCAGTGGCCTAACTGGAAATGCAGAAGAGAAACTCATGGAATGACTCTGTGTTCCATGAGAAGAAGTAGCAATTGGAGCAAGTGGATAAGCTCCAATCTCTTTAGTATTCCCCTCCATATCCTTTTATTCCAGCATTCTTTCCCATATGGAACCAATTTGTTAACTATCCCCAAGAACAGCTGTAGAGGTATCAGAGGACACTGGGAACTTGAAACCCCACAAGCACGCTGTAAATTACAGATTCAAACTACAAAATGGGTTGAGGAGTTTTAGCATCCTGGGCCAGTGCCCCACAGACCTCAAACCCTGGCCTCAGTTCTCTTCTCACTCTGACTTGAACACTTCACTAGGGCTGTTTCTCCTTCTAGGAAATAAGAGGACAATGGCATAGATCAGGGTTGGTCAGCTGCTGTGGTAACTCAAAATCTCATCCTCCTAGCACAATAAGAGGGATTTGTTCACATCTTGATCCGATGGTGATTGATGTGGTGGATTTGTTCTCCCTCATCAGTTAGGGACTCAGGCTTTGCAGTTTTGTGTGCCCGTCACCTACAGCCCTGTCCTCCTCCACATTCAGCGGTGGTAAGGAGAGAAAGCAGGCATGGAGGAAGGTATGCTTCCTAAGCCGGGCCTTGAGGGAGTTTCCAAACCTTCCCTCCATTCTCCAGTGGTTAGAACTCAGTTGCATGGCAGAACCTGGTGTAGAAAGCTTAGGATGTGGTCTGTGTGTCCCGGGAGAAGAGGAAGTAGCTTGGGAACCTGGGAGAGATGTCACCACAGCCCTTACGCCAGAAGGTGGTTTGGAGGATGGAGTGAGGATGGTAGCTGTAAGAACTCAAATGACATCCTGGATCAATAAAAATCCTGGGGGTAGCGAGGTCAAGGCCTGTCTCCTCTTCCCTGCTCATCCTCTGCAGCAGGCAGGGCAGGCCTCTTAGGCATCTTCATGCTCTCTGCAGGAATAATTAAGAGAGAAGCTATCAGCTGCTCCAGTCCTTTGCGGTCTCTGTGGATAGCCCAATCTCAATTCATCCTGGATGTTTCCATGTGGACCAGAGGAGTGATCAAGGCGAGGTCATCTCTCATGGCATACTCTCAAATACCACTGTTTCTTTGGGGCTGCCATTGGCCAACGTGAAATCACTTGCCATTCAGGCATTCCTTAAATGCATACCCTCAGTTCTCAGAGAAGCTGAGATTTGTCAGCTGGACCAATCTAGCTCGATCCTTCCAGCTGTGAAGAAAGGATTTCCTCTTGGCAGTGTGAATCAGATCATTCCAACACCTGCTTGACACCCTCCACCATGCTTCCACTCGTGTGGGAAAAAATCCAAATGATTTTCATAGGATCGGTATTCCCAGGTTCAGCCTGTCTTCAATTTCATTTCTCCTCTCCCCTTATCCATCCATCCATTGGTCCATCGATCCATCCATTCGTCTGACAGCTATGCATACAGTTTCTGTTCTAGGCACTGGGACGTCAGCAGTCCCATAATGTTCAGGACTTGGTGGAGGTTTGTGTTCTTGCGTGACCGCTGTCTCTGATGCTGTCCTTGAGCATACCCTCAGCGATGCGCCTTGGCGCTGGTGTTCTTCCTTCAGTCCTTCTCACAGAAGACTGTATAGAGCAGGCCCTGCTCCCTGAGTTATGTTCCATGCGCACACTGCCAGCCAGGAAGTCCTGGCTCCTCCATGTGCATTCAGTGTCCATCTTCCTGTATTTTACTGCAGCCCAACTCCCCCGAGGGCATGGATTTGGTTTCTCAAACTCACTTATGTAATCTCAACACCTATTAACTTAGCAAAAAGTTAATCATCAACCATCACTTGAACAAGTGGCCTAATGAATTGAAGGAACTACCAAGCAGCAGCAGTTGTTGCATGGGTGATGGCCTGCTAGCCAGGGGAGGAATGTGAACTTGCATTCTCTCGGGAGCCTGTGTTCATTTCTGTCCCTTCTGATCGTTGTGCTGCAGGGAATGACACCGCTCCACTGGGCAGCTTTCCATAACCGGCCTCAACACACCCAAGTACTGCTGAAGAAGGGGGCAGATCCCACTCTCCTGGACAAGGACTTTAAGACGGCCCTCCACTGGGCAGCCCAGGTGAGAAAGCAGGCTGTGAGCGTGTCTCGAGTTTAAATGAGGTAAAGCTGACCTGAGCATGTTACCCAGCGAAAGTCGGAACTACCACACAAGCTGGTCCCGATATTTACTTGAAATGTATATAATAGAGCAAGGAGGGCCGTCTCCCATATCCAGAAAGGCAAGAGCAAGCCTGCTGCTTCAACACACATACACACACCCTTAATGCTCTCTCTTTACACTCAGTGCTTCCTGTTGAGTTACAGAAGCCCTCGCGACGGAGCTCACTGACTTTCCTCCATCCCTCCACAGCCACGTCACTGCAGATGACCCCGGCTTTTGTACCCAGCAGTGAAACAATGACTCACACTCCCGCATCACAGTCACATGAGTTGAGCCACCTGAGTCCACACAGCCATAGATAGCAGAATGGGCCTGTGAGTTCTAGGGTCCAAATAAAGTCAAATAGACTGAGAGGAAAAAGTTACGACACCTGACGGGCTCTGTTGTCTATCCTTTCGCCAAGGGTCAGGCTCTCTAACAAATTAGTGGAGTTACCTATTTCCACGCTTCAGCATGCTGGCTTTCCATGCCGACACCCAGATCCCCACTCCTCGCTGCCATTGGCCAGCAGAACAGTTGCCAGCCTCGTTGTGAGAGTCATCTCTGCTGCCCAACCCTGGTTTCACTCAGGGTTTTCCTGGGGCAGAGGTAGCACCTGGGACTTTCGGGACTCAGGGGTGTGCCTACGATCAGGGGAAAACAGAAGCGATTTGAAAACTGCTCTGTTTTTGTGTCTCTAAACTTGGCTTCGGTTGCAGGGCATCGGACCCGGTCCTGGGCAGGATGACAAAGTGAACCAGACTTGTTTTTGTCTTCTCCACCTGCCGTGGCATCCTCCCACGCACTTTCGTTATCTGATCAGACGCCCCGCCCCCTCCCTGCGGGCTCTGTTGAGGGCACTTAGAAAATTGACTCTGGCCAGTTAGGGACCACAGTAGCAATGATCGCAAAGAATCTGGTTCAGCACCCGAGCAATGCCCTGAGCGTGTTGCTTCTCAGCTCAGGTGGAAATGGTATCTGAAATAAGCATTTCTACAGATTCCCCCTCAATACCCTGGCACTCTGACTCCTCCTTCTCGGCTACTGTCCTCTGAACCCCCCCCCCCCGCAGTAATTCTGATGGACCTGCATCATCTGGTCCCTCTTCCTCCATCCCAGCCACAGTCGAGTCCTAAATTAGCCCTTGTAGTAGAATGAATCCCCATCAGGTCTTGCCCCAAATGCAGACTCCTGAGCTCCCTGCACCCAGACCTTCTGAGTCTCTGTCCTTATCCTGTAGGTGGCAGTTTGGCTAAACCAGAGCGACAACACACACTGAATTTCCATGACAGCCCTGGATTTGACCTAAGGAGAGTCACACACATCTGTGTAACTTAGCTCCAAATATATCGGGAGAGGGAGGGTATGAATGGAACCGTGCCTGTGGCAGCTAGAGGATGTGACGGAACTGGAAGAGACAAGTCACGTTGTTAAATTCTCTGAACTTCGTAGAGACTGGGTTGATGAATTGAGTATTCTTCTCTCTAAAATTTAGAGTCTAAGTAACCATGCTGTAAATGATATTGCTCCCAGCCTGCCATGCTCCCAAGACTCACCGAAGGACCTTTTAAGTAATGTGGATGCTTAGGCTCCACTTAGAGTTCTCCTTCAGTTGTTCTAAGGTGGAGCCCAGGCATGGAGACTTTTAAACCTCCTTCCTTCTCCCAGGAAATTAAAATGTACTATTAGGACTGAGAGCTGTTGTTAGAGAGGAACTCCAGTTAATGGTTGCCAATATCGTATCTACCCCTATCTTCAATGTTGCCTTTTCACCACAGTTAGACACATGAGTGAAACGCCTCCTGCATTTGCTCCATCACGACTCAATAAACCTTCTGGAACATCTGCTGTATATCTGGCTCTGGCCCTGGAAGTAAAGTGACCAACAGAAAGGTTCCCGTTGGTACCCTACGGCGCTGGCCGACATCTATGTGCAGGTGCTGGGCTCTTGCATCTGCTTTTCTAAGCAAAGGGTCCACAGCTGTCTTCATCACCCCATGACAGTTGGCAACTGCATCAACATGTAAGGAATCCTGGCTCTGAGGACCTGTGGTCTCTCTCCCTTCCACGTGGCTAGTGTGGTAGTCGAAGTCCCAGGCTGTGCCTTCTGCCCTTTGCAGGAGTACCGGAAAATCACGGCATCACTGGTCCGCCGCAGTTGCCTCCTGTTGCACAGGTCCAGCGCTGCACGCTCGTCATAGTGTTTCCACATGAATGAGTCTGCTTCCCATTGGCATTTATTCCTTTGCTCAACTTCCTGCCTTTCTCTTGGACTGTACAATGAGATTACATATAAGGCTATGATACTTGGAAATAATTAAGCCTTTGTATTTGACCCAAACAACCAAAGCAGTAAAGATTTGAAACATAGGGCCCAGAAACTAACTTCAACTTCTGCTTCTATTTTATAGGTCCTTTATTAGCTAGAGATAGACTACAATGGCCATGTCCTCTTTCCTATTCTCCTATCTGTCTAGAAGACACCACTGTTTGGCTCTAGCTGGGCTAACAGAAGCATGTCACTTGCTGTCTGTGAGGATCTTAGTGTCATCCCAGACCCGCGAGGCCATGCTCTCACCTCCCTGTGATGACACTAGCTTGTCAGGTATCTCTGCCTCATCTCCCTCTACAGGCCAGCACAGAGTGATAACCCCCCCCCCCATTACCTCTTACATGGCCCACTGATCAGTACTATTACATTGGAGGTGGAGGGCTGGAGAGATGGCTCAGCTGGCGAGATGATTGCTGTGCAAGCCTGTGGACCTGAGTTGGAATCGGGTGCCTGACACCCACATAAAAAGCCAGGCACGATGATAATCCTGGAATCATTGTAACCTGTAATCCCAGCGCTGGGGAGGCAGAGCCAGGAGGATGCCTAGGGCTCACTCATCAACCAAGTAGTCTTCCTGGATCGGTGAGCTCCATGTTCAAGGACAGGCCCTGTCCCAGAAAACAGCATAGAGAGTGACAGGGAAAGGCACTCAACAGCAGCCTCCGGCCCCCACATATGCACACATATGGGCGTGCACCAGTACACATATACAGGCATACACTATCCTTTATCCATCCATCTGTCTGTCTGTCTCTATCTCTCCCCTCCCCCTCACACATATAAACACAAATGACATTATTCTGGAAATTAAATTTCAGAATGAGTTTTGTCAGAGACAAACCACATCCAAAACAATAGTTTCTCATTTCCAAATCCTCTTTGATCATTGCCAATACATAGAAAAATAGTTTTGTCTATTGTAAAATTTGTGTCTTATATTCTGAAAACTTGTTACAGTTGCTTCTTAATTTCAGGGCCTTGAGTTTCATCTGTCTTTTCAAATATTCTACTTAGACAACCACATGAGATGCAAAAAGTCGTTCCAGCTCTTCCTTCCCAGTCCTCCTATTTTCCCTCCGCTCTCCTGTCTTAGTGCAATAGCTAGGACGCTGGCCCTTGAAAGACTAGCTGAGAATAGCTCCGTTTCTAACACTTCAGAGATATTGCGTGTATCCTTTTCCTCCCTCTAGTTAGCTTGGAGCCCATTCTCCACCGCTTACTCCCGCAGACTCGCTATCTCCATTCCAATCTACTTCGTCTGGCTGCAGCGCGTCATAAAAGCCCTCAGGCCTTCAGGGCGACGTGACTGAAGCAGGGATGCTAGCTCGGAAGCCGCTGCTTTGTACTCGCTCTAGCACATGATGAATTATGCTTACATCCCCTCATTCAAGGTAGGGAGAATAACCCTTTCCTGTCAAAGGAAGGCACCGGGCAACTTCTTTTGCGTTAGTAATTATCCTAGTTGCTGTAACGGAGGCAACAACGTAGGGTGAAAAGAGTCACTTCTGGCTTGGCGTTTGAGGGGATGCAGTACATGGTGGAAGGAAGCATGGTGGCAGGCGTCGAAGGCAGCTGGTCACATGGCGCCTGCAGTCAGGAAGCAGAAATGAACACTGGTACTCAACTCCCTTTCCCCTATAAAAATATACACTCCGGGACTGCACCCATGGCGTGGTACTGCTCACGTCCAGGGCAAGCCTACCGTCTTCTTAGACTTCTGTGGGAGCATCTTCGCAGACGCACCCAGAGATGTCTTTCTAAGACGATTTGATGATTCTAGTCCAGTCAACCCTATGCTGATAACCAACTGGTCCCACAGCCTCCCGATGAACCTCTTTGAAGGGACACTGTCTTAGTTACCGTTTTATGGCTGCGAGGAAGCAACATGGCCAAGGCGATTCTTATAAAAGAAAGCAGCATTTAGTTGGAGGCTTGCTTACAGTTTCAGAGAGTTAGTCCATGATCATCATGGACAGAGGGGTGCATGACAGCGGGTCAGGCAGACATGGTGCTGGAGCAGCAGCTAAAAGCTTACATCCTAATCCACAGGCGGGAAGAGAGAGAGAGAGAGAAAGAGAGAGAACAAGACTAGATCTGGCTTGGGCTTTTGAAACCTCAAAGCCTGATCCAAGTGGCACACCTCCTCCAAGTTCCCTTGTTCTTATCCTTCCGAAACAGTTCAGCTTCCTCTTTGGCAAGCGTTCTTCTGAGTCAAGCTCCTCTCCGGTGCTCTGTGCTCGTGAGGGATAAAGAGAAAACAACAAGCACACAGAAGTTCCTAGAGGACCTGACAGCAACGTGACAGTGATTACCCACAATACAAAGCAGATAAATACAGCCAAACAATCTGTGACACCGATCGAGCCTCCCACTGCGAAGCCGAGAGCTCAGCAACAGGCTGTGTGTGGTCTTGCTGCTCCCCTGGTGCATTAGCATTCCCACTGGATGTGGGCCCATTCTCTCTTCCTCCTTTGGCCCCCATCTGGGCATTCCTACTTCTCTTCTCCTACTTCTTCTTGGCCCCTGTGACCTCCCTAGCCCCCCATCATCTGAGCCTCCCTTTGACTGGAGCCATCCGAAGTGCTAGCGGGGAATGCAGGGTGTCACCAAGTGATTATCGTCCCCACTGTTGGCTTCTAAAGCAGTGTCTCTGGTGTGCCTCAGATTCTCAGGAGGCTACAGCAGGGCCCACCTTCCTTGCAGAGGCAAGGTTCACCATGACTATTTATGTGACAGGTCCAAACAGCGGTTTTCAGTTCAGCAGCTTCCTCAGTGTGAACACGCAGGGTCCTTTTCCTCAAAGGTCCAAGCCTACAAACTCTACAGCGTCGATCCTGGCCCAGCTCATTCTTAACTCTGACCCAGAGCGAATTCTTCCATCCCTCCGGCCTCTGTTCTCTGACCTCTCAGCCTATCTCCTGGGGTTATGGTCAGGAACGGTTTAGGAAGGCGCTAAGCAACAAGCAGTCTCTCCATGTGCACAGCTGTCACCATTATTTCTGAGGAAAACTGACACGGGAAAGGGAAGTACGGATGATAGTGTTACACGGGAGACCCAGGAGCAGGCAAAGGACTTACCTGGGGAACCTACAACAACAAAAGGCAGGTTGGGAGAAGAGGGTAAAGTGAGGGGAGACACCTTGCCCATCCTTGTTCAGAGGCCTAACCTACAGCACTCCAGCCTCCACAACACATGGGACCATTCGGTCAGGTTTCAGAAGAAGCAGACACAGGTGCCCTGGGCTGCAGCTACTGTCAAGAGTCAGGCGAGGAGAAGGAGCAGAGAGGTGAGGTGTGTCCTTTTGTTTTTTCCATTTGTCCTCAATGCTCCCTCTTCTACAAAGAGGGGAAACTGAACAGAGGTGTTTTGCCCTTTGAATCACCTTGGCAACCTGAAGGCCTTTTCTCTTCCAGGAAACTGTAAACAAAACAAACCCACCGAGCTGGCACTCTTCTCTGTTTTCCTTCTCCAGGAGCGGGTACTTTCCAAGAAAAGTGTCTCTCGACTGTTTTTAACTGTATTCCAGGCCCCTTCGGAATGCATCAAGTTGTATATGAATGATTCTAGGAAAAAAAAAAAAAACTGTGAAAGCCCCTTATCTACGTGTTCAGTGTGGCAGACTTCTTAGGACAGACAGGCACAGCACACAAATACATGCTCGAGTCACATCCAAGCCACGTGGAAGAAAGGCTAGACAAAAAGAGGAAAGGGTGTAAGGTGGGTGGGGGGTGGGGGAGACCAAGGTCCAGGAGGAAGCCCACTGCCTGAGACACCCGAGATAGAACGTTCTGTGCTCAGCACCTTGAAATTCTCAGTTTGTTTTATAAGTGGAGCCTGCACACACACAATTCTAACCCCCAAACGCCTGCATCAGGAGCCCGACTCCTGCCCAGCCTCTGCTGCTGCCCTCTCTGCTTTGTCCTGGGCCTAAGGAAAAGCTCAGTGTATCCCCTGTTGCAGGGTGGATACTGGGCACCTGGGAGGATCTGGAGGCGTGCTAGGAATCTCCGACACAAGGATTGCCTAAAACTCACCGTGCCAGACTGAGGAACAGGGCTTTTGTCTGCAACCTAGTGTCGTGGTTCAGCCCTCCTCCTCCTCCTCGTGTTCATAGTGAATTTAAGTGCACAAGTGCTGCCCTCACGGCCACCTTGTCCAGTGAAATGAAAACGTCAAAGAGCAGATCTAGGGAGCAGTTTGTTGTCTAGGCAACACATCTGTCAGGCTAGCTCTGACGTCGGTTGCCGTTTGCCACCAAGTCCATCGTCGGTTCCCTAGCTGTGGAGGACATTTAACCCCAACTGGAAACAAAACTCCCGGCAGAGAATTGAGATAGGTGGAAATCGGTTGAAGAAATGGAATACAAATTATAGATAGCCACTGTCTGGGATTAGATTTCTCTAGTGGCCCCAACAGAGCAGACTCAAAGTCAAAACAGAGTGGCCACGCTGAAGCTGCATCTCATTAAAGCCAAGCTAAGCTGTTAGCTGAACTTCTGAGAAGCCAGGAGAGAGGGGGCAGGCACATAACAAAATTCTCCACAGATCAAACCACATGATCATGACGCTCACTCCTTTTTAATTTTTTACTCTTCTGAGGCTGCTTCGCCCATCACAAAACTACAAACTTACTTAATACATTGTAAGGGTTTTTTTTTTCCTTTTTGTAATTTTTTTGGGGGGATGATTTTTTGTAGCTCTAGAATATGAACTTTTTTTCACGTAGTCATGCCGGAAAGTCAAAGGGCTGAATAGGTCTGTGAGTACTCGACAAGCTGGCTGTAAACTGGGAAGATGAGTCCCCCAGTCCTCATCATCTAAGGAAATGGCCACTCTGCTTTTTCCTTCCTTGTTCTGTTTTTTTTTTTTCCCCCGCTTATCCATCCTCTGTCTTTTAAAGCAGGCCCTCCCTCATCATGCATAGGTAGGAACATGGACAGGGTTGTTCATGATGGGATTTCTCTGACTCCTTTTTTCAGAGTGGAAATAGGATCCTGTGCTCCATCATTCTGAGTCACCATAAGGGCCCGTCCATTATCAACTATGATGATGAGAGCGGAAAGACGTGCGTCCATATCGCAGCAGCTTCGGGTTTCGGCGACCTTATTAACGATCTGGCAAAAATCCCTGAGTGTAACCTGCAGGCTCTGGATGTGGATGACAGGTATCCATAGCAACTCAGACAGCACTGGGAACTACCAGTCATCTTCCCCTAATGTTAATCTTAAAATAAAGACACCGAGGGCGCTATCCTTCCTGATTATATCCTTATTACTGGTAATACATGTGTTTGTAACAAGTCTTGGTCTATTTTAGTAAGAGGAGGAAAAAAATCATTGTTATGAACAGAAATCATGACTACAGAGTTGTCAGATTTTCCACTTTTCGCTGAATATCTCAGGAGGCTTTCTGTTGAGCTGACGTGGGCCCTGGTTCTTAATGGAGTTTGTATTTCCTTCTTAAAAACCATGGACCTTACTAATGAAAAATTTTTTCCAGCTATTGTTGTTAAATTGGCTGGAAATGGAAGCTGGGTTCAGAAAGGGACGATGACAAATCTCAGGGGTTGTTAGCAACCCAGAGGAGGATCACCTGCGTCTTTAAATGGGGCGCTCATCACCTACGAGGACATGCTTACTAACCTTTGTTGACTTTAGGCACTGTGTGGGAAATGCAAGAAAAAATACAACAATAAGCAACATTATTGAAAAGTGTAAGAATTACAAACTTTCTGAGTATGTAGTCTCCATTTTCTGTCAAAGTAAGACCTGAGCGTCTGATAATCTTAGAAATCCCATAAGAGAACCTCCGCTGATACCGGAAATTCTTTTAGCACGTGTGTATGTCGGGAAGGGGGAGAATGTCTTATCTTCTACATAGGTCTCAGGAGTTGGAGATGTTTAACCTGATAATTTTAATGAAAACTGAAGGCTACTTCTTCCTAAGAGCAGGTGTTGGTCCTGAGAAAGGGCATGTTAGTAAGATGGGTCGGGAAGTAAGAGATCCAGGCAGAGAAAGGAACACAAGGTAGCGTCAAGGGATGGAAGGACGTTTGCCTGCTTCCAAAAGCTGCTAGAAGCAGCTCCCTATTTTGCAGAGTTACACATTTTAACAAAGAAAATCCATCTTCCTGAGCTTCAGGGAAGAAAACAAACCCAGAGAGGAAAATCAATGCAGAAGATTAGGTCCGATGAGAAGGGAAGTGACTTTCTAGGAGTCTCCCTGCCCCAAACCGCTGGGTAAGCCTTTCCTGTTCCTCCATCTTATGTTCTCATGTTGAACACGAAGCCCTGTCTTTTCTGTGAAATTCTGAGTTTCTGTTAATAATTGAGCTGTTTAAAATCATCAGAAGCTTAAAGGCATCTCTGCAACTTGCCCTTCTTTCCTCTTTCTTCTTCTTTCGTAGTGAAAGAGTTTCCAAAAGAAAGGCTTTGTGGTAAGAGAAGAGAAAAAAGATTGTGATGAGGGGTGTGCAGGTGGGGGAAGGGGTTTGGAGAACTAGGCTGCCTGTTCTTAGCCTACGTCAGAAAGCAGGCAAGGTGGTGCTCCCTGGAACCATAGCCCCAAGGAGACTGAAGTAGGAGGTTCACAAGTTAGGGGCCAACACAGGATACAGAATGTGTTATGGAATGAGACTATCTCAAAAACACACTCCCCCCCCCCTTTTTTTAATGGCCAACAGGATGGCTCAAGAGATAAAGGCACTTGTCACAAGTCAGATGAACTGAGTTCTATCTGATATATATGATGGAGGGAGGGAACTGTCTCCCATGAAGCTATCCTCTGGTCTCCATGCAAGTGCCATGGTATGCAAGCATGCACAGACACATCCACACACAAGAAAGAAATGTAGGGGGAAGAACTGAGTCACGTAATACCTCTACGGTATTTTAAATATTACGGTATTCACCTCAGAGTAATGCCAAATCACAAATAATGCAGAAACAGCCTCCATGTCTCAAATGTCCCGCATTTCATCCATCTGTGAGGTCCTAATTCATTTCAATAAACAATTTTATTTATTTCATAAATAAAAGGGAAGGCCTTTTATCAGGTTCTCCTCCCTGCTTATTCCTGGCAGTTCTCCAGAGATGTTTACAGGCTTCACAAATTCAGCCCTTACTGGCAGCTGAAATAGCCTTGCACCCTTCCACCCATCAACCCTTACCCAGGGACCACAACTCTGTTCAGTTGCTTTAAATCACAGATCCTGACCTTCCAATTCTTATTGTGTTGTCCGAGGCCAGCTTACAGGATCATCCTGCAGCCTTGAGGTAGACAAGACACTGTAGCTCAGACAACGTGACTTATGTGTCACAGATTTGCCAATGAGGCGCTCAGTATGTAAGTCAAAGGTTGTCAACGTGTTGCCTTGTTCTCTGTGCCTCTCCAATGAGGGCCAGAGGAGTTAAAACCAGTTGGTCTTAGCGAGCGTAAGGCAGGATTTATTTCATAAGCCTTCAAAGTGAATTGTTGCATCTTGACAAGCCTACATCAGCTGGCTTCATTGGCAACTTTCCTCTAGATGTAGAGAAGAATCTGCTGTAGCCTCATCTTGCAAAATATTGTCTAGAGAGCTCTCTTATATAAAATAAAACAAATCCTACCTGTCACATCCAGACACGGTGTGATAGGTCACTGCACATTCAGAGACACGGTGTGATAGATCACTGCACATTCAGATACACTGTGATAGGTAGGCCACTGAACATTCAGATACAGTGTGAGAAGTCACTGCACATTCAGAGACACAGTGTGATAGGTCACTGCACATTCAGAGACACGGTGTGATAGGTCACTGCACATTCAGAGACACGGTGTGATAGGTCACTGCACATTCAGAGACACGGTGTGATAGGTCACTGCACATTCAGAGACACAGTGTGATTAGTCACTGCACATTCAGATACAGTGTGATAAGTCACTGCACATTCAAATGCAGTATGATAGGCCACTGCACATTTAGATATACAGTGTGACAGATCACTGTATTGATGATACATTGCCCTCTAAGGTGTCATAATGTGGAGAGGGGTCAACAGACAGAGAACACAATCTGAGTATGGAGACCACTCTATGTACTTAAACACTCTCTACATACTTGGGTCCAAAGCCCTTCTCTTCCAACCTCCAGAAGCTCCCATGCCTGAGGATTATTTGGCTCTCTCTCACATGCCCTTCTGCCCAGAGTCCAGGTTCTAGAACAAGGCCGGGGGGGGGGGGCGCTGCCTTCCTTCCCTTCCTTGCTGCCCCAGGTTCCTTTCCCGATTGAGAGACAGGAAGCCTAGTCATTCTCTGTAAAGGAGACCTCATTCATAGGAATAAAACCACTTTGCCTCCCTAACCCCACCCCCAGGAGGGTGTGTATGGAAATCAGAGCCTAATAGTGTGATATTTCATCATTCAAAATATGGCCTATCCAATGTTGACTAAAACTATAGGAGATTCAAGTGTCTAGTCCCTTTACACAGTATTTTCCAGAAGCCTAATATCCACGGCTACTCATCACCTCTGTCTAATGTCCACGGCTACTGATCACCTCTGTCTAATGTCCACGGCTACTGATCTGATAGACATTTCTAAGCAATTAAATGTCTACAACATTAAAAACATATGAGCACAGAACAGCATATAGCTCCAGCTAAGAAGCATGCATTTATTCACAGTGACTATACTCTGAGGAGACACAATGCTCTCACTCCACCCCGACTCCAGGGTTAACTTTACCTAAGGCAGAGCCTCAAACTTCTGCTTTAGATAAAAAGTTCTGATGCGCACTGGAACACTTAAAGACCCCCTGGGAAAGGAGTATCAAAATGAACTGTCCAAATTCAAACTTCTCATGGAGCTGTGCAAAGTCACAGTACACTGTTAGCCAGAACTGTTTTTTTTTCCATGATATAACACAGAGCAATGTTGTCAAAGCTTCCTCTGTGTAAGCATTTGATTGAGACTCTAATAGGTTAGCAGTTGGTGTGTGTGCTGTAGGTGCAACCCAGGGAGTGAAATGCTCTCCTTCCTCCTCACATGTAAAGTGCATCCGAGGGAAAGAGTGGAGTATTGACTACATCGAATATTAATACTTTGTCACAAACAAGATTTTTAGAGATTATGGTAATTTTTATTATCTGTAATAAGTGATATTTTTTTCAGTATGAAAACATAGAATTGAACTCACTATGATAGTCAAGCACACTACAATGGAGTTATCACACCAACCCTATAATTTCTCATTCTTGTCATCTATTTAGACGGGTGGAAAATTGAACCTCCATTTCTTTTGGCTGGTTGTAGAATTTTCACAATACCAAAATATGTAATAACAGAGGTGGGAGACAGTCCTCTTGATGCTTGTCTTTATCCTTTTGGGTCTGATGAGCCTCTAGGCTATTTTTGGGAGCATGGTGGTCTTGGGCTATAGGGTTCTACACATCACTCAGACAGGACAGCCCCCACCTCCCAGCAGCCCTACCAAAGAAGCAAATTCTGGTGCCTAATGTTGTTTAACCTGGTACTTCCTTATGCTCTCATCAACCTCATTTTTTTCATGGTATTGAGGTTCAAACCCAGAGCCTCGCACACGCTAGGTAATGCGCTACTACTGAGCAACAGTCTCTGCCCTTTATCAGCCTATGTCCCGTCTGTCTTGACATCTGAGGGAGAGTTCTGTCTAGGGTTGGGAAGGCCAGCTCCCTTTACATGTGCAGTTACATACGTTGCCTTTGCTTCAGATCTGCTCCCAGTTCCAAGCCTGGCTTTTGGAAGCAGCAAAACATTAGTCATCGCATTTACCCTGTAGCCCCTCTCCTCTAAGATTAAGTACAAAGTCAGCCGTGCCTTTAAATAGAGGACAGAAGAAAAGTGGAAAAGAATACACAGTCATATTAATAAATGATGTTGATGAAAGCGTGCCACTTTTAGAAAAACACATACCTAGAAATATGAACTGACTGTATAACCTAACATGACCCAAACTTGTAATCCTGTTGCCTCAGCTTCCTGGATGATGAGATTATAGCTGTGAGAACCATGCCAAACCATATTCTTTTCTTTCTTTCTCTCTCTCTCTCTCTCTCTCTCTCTCTCTCTCTCTCTCTCTCTCTCTCTCTCT